CAAAACCACTCCGCGACTTTGAGAAATTCAGCTTCGGATTTTGGGTGGGAGGGGTGGGCGGGGGTGGGGGGGGGGGGGTGGATGATGACGACATTGTTACACAAACACAGCGAACAAAATCTCCACAAGTGGCACGCGCACCTGCGGTTACTAGGGCTCTCGTGGAATGTTAACCCCCGGGACGTCAAAGCACAGCTGTTCACCAGACACTGCCCAGTCATGGAAACCCATCCCCCGGAGGCAACACGTTTGTCTTGCCCTTCTGTACTGCCCTCTCCTGATAGAGCAGATATGAGTGAACATCACAGTGTAATCTGGGCATATAGCATGCTAAAGGGTCCCCCGAAAATCAGTGTAGGGTGAGCACGGAAAGATGGGGTCTTCGAGGAAAAGCGTGCTATACCCACTGCTTCGAGCGAGCGCTGTCGACTATCATTGAAAGGAACGAAGACGAATTACAGCCTCTAGGTGCCCCCCGAATTCGACATCTTATACATCGGAACTTCATGTTTTTACGGTGTGTTGAAAAGAAGCTATGATTGGCGGCTCAGGTCGGGCCGTACTGGAAAGAGGCTTACCTGACAAGGCAAGGTTTTCCCTTGCGTTTAAAGATTTCACACCATGTGCACTGAAAAGGGCCAGGAAACGTGCGCGGATTACGCGCTCTCACCATTGCTCCCCCGTCTTCTCACACCTCGTGTGGTACTGGTCGTTTGCGTTTCGCCCCCCTAGTGGTGGGCTCCTCGTGCTCTCTGCCAGGCAAGAACGGGGGAGGGTCCCACGCTCACGCCTGCGGTTCTCTATGCAGAGTTTTTGTCTTGTCGATGGTTTCACCGCAACGGCTCAGCTGTATCTCTCGCTCTGCCTCTCTCTCCCTGATCGAGAGGCATGCACTGTAAGTGAAAACTAACAGCTCATGTCTCCAGGCACTCGGCTTGGCAGAGTGGCCGTGGAGGTCAAGGAACATCTCCAGACCCCTCACAGAGGAAGAGCTGGAGCTGGACGAGCCGCCTTGCTGAGTCACAAGCAGCTACCAGCCAATGCAAAATATAGGAATTGATCAACGCGCAGATCTGAAAGCCTATGTGGTGAGTGGCTGCCGGCTGCAAGCCCTGGGCACGCTTGGAAGGGATTCTGACATGCTTTCACAACTTGGATGCACCTGGGAGAGGCTGCGCAGGTGGTTTTTCAGCGCGAAAATCACAGGGTGGAGGATTGGGTTCGGATCGTGCCTCAGCTCAAGAAAAGAACCCAGTGTCTCCGTTATATCATTGTCCTTTCTCCTCGCTGAGCTTGCTGGCCAAACTCGGTTGGGATCGACACCAGCCAGGGTGCAGCGAGAGTTCCCGTGCACCACACCATCCACATTGACCATAGGTATGACCTTGGCAGAAGGAGAACAACATCTCGACATCGAGAGCCAACCAGGCCCCAGAAACGACAGTTTGATATCAAGATAGCACGTGGAACTCATAAATGCGACGGTGCCCCATCCCTCTTTGTGAGTGCACGGTGTCTGACTTCTGCTTGGTGGAATCTGCTCATTCGTTCTGTGTTGATTATCCGGAGCAGCTGATGGTTTCCGACGCATCCGACCGAAGCTTATGATCACTTACAACTTACAGTGCAACAACACCTGATGATGCGGATGTAACCAAATGCAAAAACCTCTTGGTAGGCAACAGCTCATTACACATCGGATACACGAAGGTAACAGGCCCCGGCATGGAAAAGGTAGACTTCACCTGGCAGTGGAAACAACTCGACGGAAAGCATGTTCTGTCTCCTTTCCGTTTCCTTCGATTGTCAATGTGCTTGGCGCCCCGCGCAGACGACATGCGGCAGGCGTGGGCCCCAGCAGGAAGCGAAGCAGGCCCTGCACGGCCCAGGACCTGATGCAATGAATAGAAGGGATCTTGACGTTGTAGTTGTTGGAAGTTGGAAACGCAAAGTCCCATGATTTCTCCTGTGCGGACGCTCTTACCTGAGTTGCCGGGCCCGACCACCTCGCCCGGGTGCTGGCGAGCTGTGATCACAATGGCATACCTGGCGTTTGCTGTTGCTACTCCAGCCTGCCTCTCTGTCCAGCGCAGTCAACTCGAAGCAAACGAACGAGGAGCAGGCTTGGCTTTAGCTCTGGACCTCGGGCGACACGGAGCACGAGTCCGGGTGTAGAAATGAGACGGATTCTGCGGCCACAGCTCATCACATCCCTCGGCATCCTCCATCCGCAAGCCCTCCGATCAGGCACATCTCTTCACGGGTGTGGTCCGTTGTCCTCTGCACTTTCACTTCGCCTGGCTGATGGCCAGCACTGGCACGGGGAGCTGGCCGATGGAGCGGCAAAGCTCGGCACGCACGAAGTGAGCCCTGGACAACCGGATTACTCATGAGGCCCATTCAAGACCTATTCAGGGGACTGACCTGGCAGCAGGCTCTTGCTCCAGACAAGACAGGAAGCTCTGCATCATGCCTTGCACACTAAATATTCGAGCTGTCGCAAAGGATGCGGATCCCCTTGGGCCCCCTTGCTGTAAGTGTAAGGTGGGTAGGCCGCAAAGAAAAGCTCGTCCTCCTTGCGCTCAATTCCTCAACGTGTAACTTCATCTACAACAGCACCTTTAAAAGGAAGGGAGGTTGGTACAGGCAGTAGATTGAGCTTCCCGCGATACGACCATTGCAGGGTATGGAAATCCTGGGAGCCGGGAGACGGGCAATCAGGCCGTGTGTAACAGTGCATCAGAATGAGTACCAGGTCTGCGGCCCCGCGCAGCCCCTCCCTTAGCAACATGTAAGCGATGGCCGGGAGCACCAAGAACTTGTTGTGCAAGGCCGCGGCTTGTCCCCTCGCTTGGCACTCGGGGAATAGCTCACCGCCTCTGACGAGGTCGCGAATGTGCAACGGCGAAACATGGTGCAACCATGTCTTTTCGCGAAACCTCCACAATGCGCCTGGCACACGAAAGGCTCCCAGCCACGCTGCTTCTTCCGGGTGGAGAACACGAAGGGCTGCAATCCCTGGATGGAAGGCGCATAACAAGACAGCCAAGATATCCAAGATTAATTTTCTGCCTAGCTCACTTCCTAGCTAACTGCTAACTGCCTATGTACCTATATGTCTACCTACCTAACCAGCTAACTGAGTATAGCTAGCTAGCCTTCTAGCTGGCGAGCGAACGAACGAACGAATTAGCAAAACCACCGAACGAACGAGCTAACCTCACGGGAAGCTAGTTACGAGGCTCAAGAACTCTTGCGATCCTGATGCGGCTGTTTGTGTGGGTCCTGCCCTTTCAATCACCATTCTGCATAGCCGTGCTGGTGACTGCTATAGGCTATAGTGATTGGACTCGCAGAACGTCGCGCACGTGCCATTATCATTATGCAGCAGAAGCCGGCATAAGCCAGCTTAGCATGGCTTAGCAAGATGCTCTTCAATCAGCCGCGAAAACCAGGCAATTTCAATACATGCATCGTTTAAAAGCAAGTTGTTGAGTTTATGCAAGTGGCTTGGTAGATTCGTGATGGCAGGACGCTTTGGGGGCAGCATTGTGGTGACGTGACTTTCAAACTTGTCGTCCGGTATTCCTTGCGTATCTGGCATGATCTGGCATATCTGGCATGTGTACCGCCGTACCGCCTGCTGGTAGAGAGACTTCTTCTTGCGCAGGTTCACGATACGGAACTGGACCGTGCCGCAGAAGCCGCCATTCCTTCAATGCAGCTGGCAGAAATTGGCTGAAACGGAGGACAGCTCTCTTGCTCTCTCCTACAGTGCTCTCCTAAGTACGTTCGTGCCAGGTGCAATTTTCAGCATCGGATTTGGTTGATCTGGTGCTCAAAGTGTTTCGGTCTGAAATCATCGAGCCAGCATGCTTTTTCTCGCTGTGCACCCTGAGGACCAATACCAAATTGTAACAGCTTGCTTCCTGCATGCTGGCTTTGACGGCTTCTGCAAAGAGGCGGAAATCTCGTGTGCCGGGATATGCTGAAGGAGGTCTGAACCCTTTGCCTGTGCCTGTACCGACAGTTTTGGCTGGGTCTTGGTGTTGAGATGTACTGAGTCGCTGTACCGCGGGTACTCGCACGCCCTCTGCTCAGGCACACAGTCTTCACACCTCCTCCCACTCTCCACTCAGAGCCTGAAGCATCCAATTTCTCTGCTCGGTTGCCCGAAAGTGGGGTACAGGTAGGTTCAGTTGCGGCACTGCGCAAGTTGCCCAGTCCTGACGGAGAAGTAGAACCACTGCGTGTGCCCTTGGGCGCTCTGGGTGTCCGCGTCCACGAGAAGCTCGTACCTCGAGGGGAGCAAACGCACTTCAGCACCAGACCAGCGCTGAGCAACGCTGGGCTGTGGGCTCCAGGTCCGCACCCGCAGCTGCTCCGGGGATGGGACCAAGGCCACCTTCGTGAGAAGCGGAAGAGAAAGCGGCCGCAATAAAGCTCTCACCGGGGCGCCACGCCCTTCGGAGGTACACTCAAGACCAGCTTGGCCGAGAGCAGGTTCCCACACTCAAAATGCGATGCAAAGCGCAGCCTCGGAGTCTTGGGCCAGCCCTGACCAGCCCTGGTCTCTGACCAACTCTCGGCGCCCAGACGGCCCGTCAGCAGTGACACGTCTCGCTATTGCAGGCGAAGATTTTTCGCTACCTTCCCGAGTGAGGCCAAGTTAGCTCAAACAAAATGTGGAAGTACCGCCTGGAAATTCCGCACCGCGAGCCTCGTTCCAGTGCCGGGGCAGCCGTGGGCCCGGACCAGGGCCTGGGATACAAAGATGGTTTGGGCAAGCCGGAATCGTTCGTGCAGTTTTTGTCCCGACAGCCCTAGCACCTTGCCTGTCCTACGCGTCGGCACTAGCAGCTAGATGCAGCTAGCAAAACCGCCAGATTCTGGCACCAGGACTCGCAAACTGACCGATTCGGCTTCGAACAGCGACCGTTTCACGCATCAGCGCTGAAGGTTCGAGCACTGTGGATTTGCTCACCGTGCACCGGTTCGCGGCTGATTTGCTCTCTTTCTACAGGATTCAGTTTCCCACCCAGCAGTCTTGTCAATCATTCGGGAGTTCTTACTTTGCCGCCCCTCGGAGGTGTCTCTGTATGGCCATGTACACACACTCTCAACCTTCTGGATGTCGCCAGAGCGCAGGTTCTTCTGCCGCGGTGTAATAAAGGTATCGATACGAAAAGTCAGCCCAGAGTACGAGGACGGCGGCGAAAACACGAAACCCCAACGGATCTGCAAGGTTGCCAACCCGAAACACCAAAGGCGATGACGCATTCGACATACCGGGCCTAAACCATTAAACAAAAAGTACATGAGCGGCAGAAAACAGAAAATGGGTGAGGCTTTTGTTTGGGGGGGTGGGAGCTGGAGATGGAGTGGTGGTGTAATCGCACACTAGTGCTCGCTTCGACGGTGACCGCACGGCTGCGTGCTTGAGCCAGTACTTCAATCGGCGGTGCTCGAACCGGTGCTGAATTGCTAGTGCTTCGATGTGCTTCGAGCGCCCGTACTTGAGTCGAAACCTGCGCAAACGCTCGACTCTCATGCATGCGGCAATGCGGCCTGCCCTCTTCCAGCTCGCTGGTCTGGCGAACGAGGTCTGCTAGCATGGATCGACGCTGGGCAATTTCCTGCACTGTGCCATCAGCAAGGCAGATTCAATGATGAGGGATTCCCGCTCCGATCCTCTGGGCTTTTGCGCTGGAAGATGGTGCGAAGGGATTTGGATTCCTTCGGCGGCTCCTCGCCTGAAGCCAGAAAGGACCTTCTCGGTTTTCTTCACTTACATTTCTGCTGTTGAACCTCCATCGCGAGCTGGCGATGCCTCAGAGCTCAGAGCTCAGGAGGAACATCAGAGCGCGCACTACAGTAGCTCAGGATTCAGCACTGCGGCGCCCCGTTCGTGCACTCATGAGATCCCATGAGCTCTGCAAGTTCTCGTGTCTGCAGCCATGGCCAGGCTTGGAGACGAGACCAAGGCTCGGTTGCAGAGTCAGAGGTTACAGGCTTGTCGTGCTCCTGGAAGTATAAAGGGCCGTCGAAGACGCCCCGTAGATATTGTGCGTCTGCGGGAACCGGGCTTTCGAAGCATGTTCGCATCAATCGGAGCTTTGCGAAATAAGCGGAATGGTCTTTTTGTCATGGTAATTCGATGCAAGCCGTGAACTTCTGAAGGTTCTACTGACGTGCCGATATGGAGTTGTGCCTCGAGCCTTGGTCGAAGCAGTGCGGTTGCTTTTTTCTGTAAACACTAAACATTGGCAATCTAAAGCATCTACAGGGCTTTCAGACCCTCAGAATCCTTCGCAACAGGCAGTGATAGTGTATGCAATAAAGGGACAAGGCTCTTTTTGATTCCGGCTCCACCTAGTGCCCACTGCTCTGGGTTCATGTCAGGTATCACTTCCTGCCTTAATCAAACAAGCAATGCTCGGCCATGAGTCTCTCAGCCTCCCCGCACTTTTGTAAGGCGGCTGCCCTCGTTCGGCGAGGCTCCCAACCAAGCCGAGGGCGGCATGACCGAGCGACTCGTGGTGGGTGCTGTGGGCGCGGCACCGGCCCAGCCACTAGGCGGCACCTGTGGTCACAAAGGTCGGCGTGGTGCAGACTTTGTTAAAAGGCCCACACCGTCGCGGATCGAACCTGCACAGCGAACAGAAAGGCGAAAAGACAGAAGCTCCAGCATGAGCTCCGATCAGATTTGCATCCTCAACAAAGCCGGAGCAGACTGATAAATGCTCGCCTGTTCAGTTCTCTGTCCTGCCACATGAACTCACGACTGGATGTCGTGGCGCAAGTTAAGCGATGCTGTTGAAAAGACTGACAAGGTCTGGTGCGGCTCCTGCAGGTTCTCCTGGTCCCGCCATCGTGCTGCTAGTTACCTCACCAGGCTTCGAAACTGAGAGCCATAGCTAAGCTTCGGTGCAATGGCTGCCTCCCTTCGCCGTCTCTTGTGCCCTGCATAACAATCGCGACGAGATGGCTGCATGGGCTGGTCACAGCACTGTGCCTCCTGTGAGGCTGCTGGGGTCTCTCTCCTTCAACTCACAGCCACAGCTTTGCCTACTGAGACACGCCGCCGGCCTTCCGGGAACGCCTATGCCGCCTGACGCTCTCCTTGGACGCCACGCCAATGTGGCATTGTGGGCGTACGAGATCAGATCTCCGGGGCCCAAGCGCTCGAGGATGACAAGGACGGCCTCGGCCCACATTGGACATGATTTCAGCCACAAAGGCTGCAGGCATCACCCCGGGCTCGGCCCCATTGCAAGGAACCCGGTAGTCGACGGTTACCCATGCCCTCAACACAGCCAAAGGCCTCGTATGTGTGTGTGTGTATCTATGTATGTATATATATATATGTATATATACATATGTATGACATCTGAAACCCCCTTCAACAAAACACCTTTCAGATGTTTTGATGCCGCGTGTCCGGACAGTGTTTCAACTCACCAAGGCAGAATTATGAAAGAACCCCCCTATATATGCATACGTAGTTCAACCAATCGAGGTAGAATTATGGCATTGAGCCAAACCCTAAACCCTTATCATGAATAAGACTAAACTGTCAAAGCAGAATAATAGCGCCGAACTGCTGTTTACAACTCTGTTGCTCATGCATGTTCACCCATCAAGGTGGAATAATAGTGCTGAGTACCGAGCCTTTGAACCGATCGCTTGTTCAGTGGAGGCGGTGATACAGATCATGATGATGGTCAGAGTCGAGGATGATGTGTACGAGTCCAACCCAAGACAAATGACACTAGCATGTCGCAGTCTCTGTGATGCCCAGTGAAATCAACTGAACAAGATTAAAGTAAAGATGAACCGTGCTTGCAGCCCAAATAAATAGTTTAATTGTCTCGTAGCAATACTGCCCAAACAGCAGGCCTGCGAATAACACTGCATACAAACTAAACTTGTACCATGGCTGACAGCATGAAAGCCAACGATTAACGATTAAACATGTGTGTAGTCGGCCCTCGTATTAACAACTTGGTAGAGACCTTGCTTGCGTTGAAATTTAAGCCGACTTCTAGATGTCAATCCCAACAGCGGTATGATACTAGCGTTAACTAACCCCAATCCTGACGCCATGGTTTAATTAAAACGTCGTAAAACCTTACGATTCGACTTTGTAGCTTCCGGTTGCGACGTTCAATAGCAAGGTTAACAGGGGCCTTAGTGGCAACCCCAATATTGGCCCCAATAAAGTGCTTTTTCTACCCTAAAAGTCCTGCTAACAGACCTGAATGTTAACCGTCGTGGCATGGTTAATTTCCTAACCTCAACATTGGCCCACATACTCACTCCAATATCAACCTGAGTATCCGTCCTCGGCCTAAGTCAAAACCCGAACTGTAAGACTCACAGGGAAATTGAGATAACTCCTCATTCCACACAACGGCAACTGTAACCTTTAACCCTCGCGGTACGCAGGTCGAAATGTAACTCTGATCTTACCTGCAATACTGGCACCAAAGTTTCCATACTACGAGCCCTACGATTCGACCACGGTAATGGCATGAATGGCTACCTTAATCCCAAATGATAGCCTGAAGCCTCGCTGTAACCTTACGAATAGCTCCAATAATCACCCATCATCTAACCCCGAATTGGTTGAGAAATCCTAACGTTCGCTTGGCAAAAGTAAACCTTAGAAGTAATTTTGCATTATTGGGTTAATTCTATTTATAAGCTTAGATCAAGTAAATCCTCATATTGCTTGGTCGGCATGTGCCATTCAGTGCGGTTTGTCATCCAGCGTGTTGCCTCTATGGGGCCTTCCAATAGGATAGCCTACAACATCAGTATTTGCATCTTACATCTTTCGTGACAATGACCGCAGTAAAGTTGTGCTCATGACGGTGATGGGTGAATATGGGTGAACACTAGACGATGGAATGATGGATTGCGTCAGTTTGCGAATGACAACCCAATACTCCGAATCATGCTGTGTGTGCTTCTCCTGAATGAGCAGCCGCAGTATACTCAGAATAATGCTGTGCTACTTCATGGAAATTTGAGAAGACCAGTCGACCGATAACAACCAATGACTGTGTGCGCGTTGTGATGGTAGCGAGCACCGGCGGGGTGAGCGAACCAATGTTGGATCTAACGCCCACCCGAATCATCTTGATTCAGGCCGGGATCCAACATCCAAGATTGCCCATAAATCTTACCAGGGAATCATCCAAGATTTCCCGCGCCAATCTTGTTTAGGATTCCGCCCCGACTCACAAAGCCCCGGAAATGATTCGGATGATTCGAAGCTGGTCCGGAGGGAACCCTTCCAACGTCCAAAATCGTGATTCTCGAAGATCTTTGGTGGGAGGGTGCCACATATAATGGCAAGTGGTCAAAGCTACTCGATATGACGCTGCGGGTTGCGGCGGTGCAAGTCCGAAGCTGTAAACTTTTACCAGGATGAGCTTCATGGGGGGATGGGGCGGCATAACACCAGAGGTCAAAGGGCTCCAGTACAAGCCTTGCTCGACGAAGCCAAGTCACGGGAATGGATGCAGCGGCTGACCACCAGTGTATACCAACCGTCTGTGACATCGTGCACTATACTCGCTTTACTCGTGCCAATGCCAAGCCAGTCACACTGTGTGCGTGTGTGTGTGTGTGTGTCATCCCTCTAACAAAGGGCTAGTAAAATGCAACGTTAGTTTCAGTTGTCGTTTACACAAACAGGGGGACCAGGCACCTTGCTGCTAACCTGGCCTTACAAGGCTAAGCACCAATCGTGTGACGGCAGTTTGAAACAGTTCCACCCAAACTGGCATCAGATTTGACGGAAGCTGTGACAAAAGCTCAGGCGATTTTTCGTGAAATGTCTTTTAAGCAGCTCGCAAGCTTACCGGATGTTGCTGTGGGATGGGGATTGTCCGTCCGCATGGCCGCAGATTCGCAGGGAAAGGATCTCGTGCGAACTATTGCGGCGGACAGTGTATTGGCGAAGTGATTTTCGAGTAAGGCGCTGAGCGAGATGGGCCTTTCAAAACGAGCTCATGCTCGGGAGCTGCTGAATGCAGGTTTAGTCAGTTTGGTTCCCTTGCGAGCTTTTAAGGCGCGCGGCACGTTTCGCTCGTGGCTTGTGCTGGTTGGTGTTGATGTTGTTGGGGCTTTGGTTCTTGCTTTGAAAAATGGCGCCATCGGTTCTCCAGTCTGAGCATAATGCCAAAAACATCCACTTTGTTGTTTGTCAACCGTGCCGTGCTCGTGCACTATACGCGCGGTGCCCGGCAATTCGCCTCAGACAGAATTGCAAAAACCCCTTGATACTGCCATGAAGCCGTGGTCTCCCCAAAGCAGTCCATGTTTGCAAGAGAAGTTGGCCGTTTTCGGAAATTCAACCGTTGCAAAGGGATTCTACGACACAGGTTGAGCAGTCCTTGAAATGGTGGCTTGCATAAGTCGTATTTCTCTTTCTGTGTAGTCGTGTATATTCTTGCATATTTCTACGAGTTCAGAAGTGGAAGCAAGAGTGATGGAGTGCATGTTGATACAGAATTGGCTTTTGTGCATAAGCTGAACACAAAAAAATTGCAAGGTGTCACGTGTCAAATTGCCGCACGGGCACGCATTCATACCGACATGATTATGGCGTCGACTTTTCGCGAAACTCAGGCGCCGAGAAAGGGCGCATTGTACATGTGGTGAGTTTGGGTCCCAGAGTTTAGTTTCACGCGCCAGTATCCTAGGACAGGGCACAAAAGCATCATGGAACGCTCAGGTCAAACTTGCATCTCCATGGTTGAGTCCTGTACGCTTGTATGGTTTGTACAAACTTTCGAGTAACCTAGAACCTTTTCGCGGATATTGTCGCAGTAGGTTGGCCTCTGCTTTAAAGCATCGGGGCCTGCCAGTGTCCACGACCCCTTTATATGACTCCTTTGGTGCACCCTTCCTTCTGTAGGTCGGTTCAGATGTAGATCGGCCAAGTCCGTCTTTTGCACAAACATGTTGCAATTTTCTTTCATCTGCCCAGCAAAACTTTCGTTGAAGCAAAGCTCCGGTCGGTGTCAAGAGAGATGTTTAACGCTCACCAGTGGCTCGAGACTTTTAAGAAATATCCGAGTCAAAGCGTTTGCAAATGTGCCGAGGTGTTAAAACAACATCCGCATTTGAGAACTGTCGACGGACACATCGCTTCACCTGATGTGCTATTGAGATGTCCCAAGGTAGTGTTTCGCATGCTGTTATTTTGCGGATCGTGCACATTATTTCCGTCAAAGGTGTTCTTTTTGTCGACGTCATCCAAAATGGTGGCGCGATGGGCTGATCATCACTCCCTTCCGAGGGATTTATTTGGTTGTAGAATCTTGGCGATGTTTCGTTGAAGAACAATGGCCCAAACATCTACACAAGGTTCACAAGAACCAACGTTTGCCGGGCAAGTTAGTCTGTTATGCGAAGAGATTCACCCCTCAATCGGTCTGGCACTCGCGGGACCATGCACGTCAGCAGATGCTCGTCTATTGCCCAGAGTTGTACAAGGCTGCCGTCTTGAACACGTTTGAAGATACAGATATGTACCAAGTGATGCCAGGACATCAAACGGAGATTGGACAGGCACTCTTGCAGTCGATTTCAAAACGTATCATGCACAGGTACAGATGGGCGATCAACTGGCGGTCAAAGCTTGCTCAAGCTTTCGTCTTTGTGAAAGAGAAGCGGAGCTAAACAAAAACGTTCCATCATTAGGTACACACGGTCGGCACTGGCCAAACTGCTGCGCCTCGCATCGCTGGAGCTCGGTGAAATTGCCCAAGTGTGTTTTCCATCATCTTTCGGGCAAGCGAGCCTGCATCAGATATGGCCGAGTCTGCATGCATATTTGGCGATTTTGGAAACTGCACCGCAATGTGACGTGGTAACTGCAAATGATAACTCAAAAGTCGTCCCATGGACGTGTTCTACGGGGAAAGGCTCGGAAATTCTGCTCCGAGCATGTTAAAGTGATGCATGCGGAGGATATCACTCCAGTTGTTGAGTCGACACTTCGTGTTGCCATCTTTTCTGTGCTAAACCGCTGCTTTAAGCAGCAGCGTGGTTCACCAACCGAGCCATATTTTTTTGCGGCTTGGCTGTAATCGTTGAAGAGGAAATGTAGTGCAGGATACACCAAGTGCTGATTCAGTCGTACCGCGTTTCATGTTGGTTGTTAAGATACGTTGACAATGTGCTTGGTGTTCCCTTCGCAGTTGTTGAAGATGGAGCCTTTCAGGTGTTTGCTTCGACCAGATTGTTACACAGCCTTAGCGTTGCTCGAAACGTGCGGACCGGGTGAGCTGCTCGGTTGTAGAGATTTTGACGAAGATAAAACAGTTTCGTATGTCCTTCCAGCTGAACGTTGGCAGTATCGATGTCTTGAAGGCGGCGGCTCACTACACGTAAATTTGAGGGTTTTTTGTGACACGGTTGTTTATAATTGCGCCTCAAGTGTTTCCTGTTCACAAGCAAATTCGCCAGCTCATTGCAAAATAGCGTGAAATTGGGTTCTCTTACGAGGATCTGGTCAAGTGCATGCCTCGAAAATTCCGGAAACGGCACCAGTAGGTCATTGCATATTGTCGTACCCTTTTAACCGCAGTGGCTTGCCTGTGTGTGCAACCCTGTGTCGAAGGGCAGTANNATTCGCGGTATCAATCAGCGACTGTGCTGAAAGCGCGGTATAATGGATATTCCGATGACCGAAAGGCTGTCATACTCGGTGGAAGCACGACTCTTGGTCAGTTCGGGAAGAGTCCTGATATACCTGGAACCAACATCTATCGCGGCGACAACGACTACGTACCACGTCGACCTGTTGAGCAGACTCACTCAACGGAACAACAGTCTTGTCAGGTTGGACCACATGGACTCGCTCTCGATCCAGGGCTATTACGGCATCATGGAGGTCACACCATCACCCATGACCATCCGGTCATTAACTATGTGCTAACAACAAGATGCAACTGATCACCTCCTTCACACTACGAGCACATCAGTGGAACCGAGTCTTGTGTCTACCACCTGGTGCGGTGCGTGCGTGCGTGCGTGCGTGCG